TTCCTGCTGGCAAAGCACAACAGAGTCTTCTGGTGATTCACTGTGTCCCTGGTGGAAAAGTATGGGCTCTGAGCCGAAGGCAGGATTGTAGAGGTCAAGGTATAGATCGACTTAGCAACCTGTTACTATCCGCAGGAAATTTAGGAGATGTGAAAACAGGTACATGTACACTCGCACACAAAGCTAGTTGGACTGAAACATGAAGGCATGTAAAACTTTCTGCTCAAGCTGTCCAAACGTGGCAAATAAAGAGGGGGGCAGCTGAGCTTGCCGCATAGTCTCCAAACAGGAGACAAAGTGAGGGAAAGCTTGCCTCGGGCAGCACAGGGGAGCCACAAAACACAACCGCCATCTCCGTCCTGTAGAGCTTCACCCCCTCCCTTGCCCATTTCAGGACACACAAAGCTGTCACTAAAGCAAAGATGTCTAAAGTCAGGAGAAGTGTATAGACAGAGTCAGAGCAGCCACCGCTCCAGAAAAAGGACGAGTATGCTATCTCCCATTAAAGAGCAAAGACACTTTTTTCCTTACCAGTTTACCATCATAGCTGCATTGTTTTCCGCAATGAACGGCAGCTCCCCTCTCGCCTTCATCGTTGCCAGGAAAAAGATCCAGAGGATGTACTGGGGCATCTCCTACAAGCTCGTCCTCCTCCTCAGAGCAAGAAAACCATCTAGCCCAGGCAGTGAGTGCTCCAGCGTGTCAGCTCCAGGCCACTGCCAGTTTGCAGCTTTGCCTGTGAAGGCTCCTTGTACTCCTGAGACCAAGGAAACTGGACTCTTCACACAAATCCCAAAGTTTCTGCCCAGTAACCACCTCCCTCCTGTATCCTAAGATTTAGGCTAATAAATGCTTGATTTCCAACGTCAAGATTTTGTATTAATGTCCCAGGTTACATCTGGGCTGGCTGGATTCTGATTGCAGCGTGGATCGCAAAGAGCAGGACACAGATTGTAACTGGGGATTAGCAAAATACAAAAATCCGATTTTGCACAGGGAAAGCATCAGTCAGCGATGGATTTTCTGGACTTCATCAAGCTCGTAGGAGGCCAGTAATCAGGGTTACTTATGAACAGCCATCTAAGGCATTTCTTCCTTCTGTTGAATTGTTGAACGTGAAAAAGATAAACCAAATAGATACTGCACAAATTCAAGTGCTTGGATCTTTTGTGGGTTTTTTGACACAAATCAAACTACACAGCCCTTGCAGTTGCACAAGCAAAATATTTGTGTATGTCATAGGACATTCATGCTCTCTCTAACAGATTTATTTTTACATGGAAATGCTGGACCTGCGCCAATCCCTTGGGATTCTGCTGATTTTGTAGGCAAGCTGCTAAGTTTATCTGTCTTCCCAGAAAAGATACCCTGGCACTCCCAATTCACCAACCAATCTTGAAATTGGGAACATTTTAGCCATGCCACAGAAAGTAGCTCTGGCATATGCCACCTGTTTGCATTGGTTTTTGGTTTTTTTTTTTCTTTTTTTTCCCTAGATTTCATTCCCCCCAAAAGAGAAGATATTTGACTACTCACACTGCTTCCAACAGGCCCAACATCTGTTATGGCCCGGTGGTGCAAGTGCTGAAAATAATCAGCTACGGGATTCGGGTCCAAGTGGATCTTGCTGCTTCCTGCAAATGGTTGCCCAGTTCTGTTTCCCATACCCAGAATCTCTCATCACTAACTTAGGATCTGCAATGCCACAAAACACAACAAAAACACACTCTTTTATCTTTTGCCAGCTGGAGCCTAAGCTCTGAAATATCCAAAGCCTAAATAATGAAAGAAGCATTCAGCCCTTCATTTTGCACCAAATAATTCTAATTTTTCCTTGAGATGAATCTTTCCTATGCATCACTATAAAAGGACACAGGCACTTCCTGGGTGCCAAAATATTCTGGGTGTCAGCGTGGTCAGGGACTGTGGTGTCGCAGACCTAATGTCAGGATCTTGCCAGAACAGTTGCTGATACACCTGAGTCCAGTTATATCCAGTACACAAACAAGCCTGGGACCTGGTCCATCCTCATTAAAATACTCTATTGAATCCCAGCATAATGGCAATGGAAGAATGCATGTAAGATCCTGGAAAATTTGTAAGCATGATCTCCAGAACTCCATCATCTAGATAACAAAAAAATACTGTAGCAGCTTTTAAAGCTTAAAAAAACCCTCTTAAGACCAGCAGCAGCACAGTAGCATTGCTCTGTGAAGAAATGCAGCCATTCCTGCTCTAGAGCATTTCATTAGTGCTAAATTTGTTATTAAAATTGGTTTGTGCGGTAATGAGTGGACTCCATCAGGAACAGGATTCTCTTTCAAGTGCTACATAAACCTATAACAAAAATTAGCTCTTGCTCAAGAAAGCTTATGGTCTAAGGATAAACAGTGGCCTTACAGAACTAAAAGGGAGCTTTGCCACTCCAACAGAGCCAGGATTTTGCCCTATATAAACAAAAGGCCAACTCAGGCAGCTTTTAGCTTTACTTTAAGCAGTGGTCCCAGGGCATTAATAACCAAGCTGTGGGGTTTTCTTAAGCCCTAAGTCTTCTGGAGGAAGCATTCCTAGTGTAGGCATTTTTGAAAGGGACAGCATGGGAAATCAGAGAAGATACCGGCTGGAAGAAGAGCAAGTACAAAATCAAGGTGATATCATTATTTCAGTGGAGGCAAGAGCTTTGATAGGTTAAAGAAAATGATAAGGTAAAAATCAGCTGTGGAGGGCCATCAAAATGTAGGTATTCATTTTCTGCATTTACAAAAGGAAAAAAAAGGGATCCTGTTGCTCTGCTGAAGCTGTGTAGATTTTCTTTATTCCGGCTCCGAAAGCATACTGTCAAAATCAATAATGCACTTCGTCACTCCTTAGTGAGCAGGGAAACTGTGACTCAAACACATCCCAGTGCAGCAGCAACTCAGAAGCAGATTACAGGCACATAGACCCTGCTGCTCCTGGCATATTTTATGGGCAATCCACAAACTGAATGCTCCTAAATAAAGAGCAAGTGAGGTTCCTCCTGAGACCACAGCATGTTCAGCATCCCTGGTTCAAAATTACACTAAATGGAAGGAAATTAGATGTTGCTTCACAGGGATTTTCTCCCCAGTTTCACAGCATTCCCTGTCCATCTCCGCATCCCTCTTCAGGGAACCATTTCACCAGGAAATCAGACTCCAGAAGAAAGTCATAAAGATTGAGGCAGGCTGTCGGGTAAGGTATTTCTGTGCTGTTCCAGTCTTTCTGTCTAAAATCCTCAGCATGAGCAAGGTCTGTAAACTTCATCTGGAATAACGGAGCTCCTCTAGCATAACATATCGGTGCAACTATACCTGCAAAAGCCCTTTCACTGTAGACCTGTTCTCCGCTAATTAGCCATATTGTCACTTAGAAATAATCTGCCAAATCTAACTGCTTAGCAGTGCTGGCTGCAGCTCAACTCGGGCTATTCACTCAAGGCAGAATCAGTCTGTTACATATTTTCCTTTCGTGGCTGGTCTATAGAGACTAACAGTCAAGTATTGCAACAGAGATTATAGCTATATTTGTCGTCTTCTTGGAGGACATTGCATATTTCAGAACAGGCTTTACTCTGATTCATCAGTACCCAGCTGAATGATGCATGCTTTTAAAGTAATTTGATATCAATGTGAGTGGAGATCTGTTAGGGCTTGAAGGGGTTGGTTGTTTTTTATCCTTACATTTTGTTTTTACTCTTATTTTTCCTACGCAAATAGTAGCCTGCTTTTAGCTAGCAGTTACCATCAATGAATAGCCTTCAGTAACAACTATATGATTTTACAGGAACAGTCTGAAAGAACCAATTAAGTTTTGATTTTTTCTGAAGCATTAGGGAAGGTCACAGCTGGTCTGTCGATTTTGGAGTGCATTTTTTTTAGGCTTTTATTGAAATTCAGAGGACCTGACAAAAGCCAGATTAAGGCAATGCCGTGAATTTGGCATATAAAAAAGACATGGAATTTAGCACTGCTGTGGCAGCTTTCAGTGAATTCTCCATGCAGGCAGTACAATATTCATTGCACTAAGGTGAACAAGACATGGCACAATGTCTATCCAGAAACAGATTATCTTCAAGGGCTAAGGTGTACCAAATGCTAGGAAGACTGCATGCAGTAAGGGGATTTTTTTTCTGGAGAAGTGATCGGATGGGTTTGAGTACTCAGATCAACAAGACCTCCCAGGCTCCATGTGCAAAGCTGCAATTTTTGCAGCACCGACACTGGGACAGGCAGTCCCTAAAGCACAGTGCAGAAGGAGCGTCTGGATCCGTTCTTATTCTTGAAAACTGATGGCTTGGCAGTAACAGTTGCCCTAATGAGGTTAAATCCTGCTGCTAAATCAGGTTTCTAAGAGTAGGTGCCCTTAATCGTTACTCTGATAAGACAGTTTGTAGGACTGAGTCAAAAACAGGCAGGACTCAGGCAGTGCCAGCAACCTGGATTTTTTAAGCCTGTGAACATTAAGACGTCCCAGGTACATAAGAGGACCGCAGCTTTTCAGTGCAGTCGGAGCAGTCAGTCGTTGTCGTCTGCTTGGGGACTGAATGTGAAGACTAGCAGGATCTAGCAGCACCACTGTCTCAAGTCCTGGTTTTCCACAGCACAGAAATTCAGACATTTTTTATGCAATTAAGAATGGCTGAATGGTATCCTCAAATGGTGTGTGTGTGTGTGTGGAGTTGGCCTGCTTAAGTCCCTAAATCAGTAGGCTGCCTTTATTTTACCCATATGCACATTTTTCTCCTTCTAGGTGAATATACTATTATGACAGCCCATTTTCATCTGAAAAGAAAAATTGGTTATTTTGTCATCCAGACGTACCTTCCTTGCATCATGACTGTGATCTTATCGCAAGTGTCATTTTGGCTAAACAGAGAATCTGTCCCTGCTAGGACTGTCTTTGGTGAGTACCCCACTTTCTCCCAGCACAAGGGAAGGAACGATTTGGCTTGTGGAAGTGATTTGCTGTAACAAAACCACAATGTACTAATGCTTATTTCGCTTGAGATGTTCTAGACGTACCCTTGTTCTCTTCCAGTTTAAACTCAAAATCCATTTAAAAACACTGTCTGGGCTTTTTTGGTAAAGTTGAGTCAGAAATTGCTCAAGAATCAATTATATGAAGGTTAAGGACAGAAGACAGAAGAATCAGATTGGTGTGATTTTTTGGTTTCTTCCCCACTCGGGTAGAATACTGGATGGTTTAGAACAAAAAAAGGACATACTATCATATTTAATGTATACTCTAGCTAGGCATTTGAAACAGATTTCAATTCAAGACATTTTGTTTATCTCTGTTTTAAGATGTTTATCTGGGAAAACATGTAGAGGTTAATTAGTGGCAATTATCTCTATTACCATCAAACAAATTAATATGATTTTGCATTTAGAAAACATATTTACTACAGAAGTTGTCACGGAAGAATCCTTCGTGGTCTCTTAAATTACTCGATTTATCATTAGAAGATTGCAGAAAGTAAGCACAGTCTTACATGAAGGTTGATGAAATACAAATTTTTCACTGGATGAAAAATGAGGGGAGTGGGAACAGTTTGTTGTGTAAAACTGTTCAGCTGTTCCTAAAAGGGTCATTCTTCTGTACAAACCTACTGAAATCAGTTGGCAGCTTTGATCAAAAATCAGTTCAGCAAGCTGTATGGGGAGAATACAGGTACCAGCATCACTTTGCTGACTGGTGGTACCCATTCTAGGTTTACAAAGCTGTAACTGAGAGTTGAATTCTGTCCTGTTGGGGGCATCCTTCCACCGATGAAAGTAGTGGCAGCTCTGTCATTTACTGACCTATGTGAAAGGAGGAGCTACAGTCAAGGAAATCAATAACAGCCAACAACTCCATACATAAAATCTCCATGTGAGAAAATAATATCCATAACCCCACTTTATTATGCAAGTTACTGCTAAACGGGTTGCTCACTGATTTTATAATGTACCACTTAATGAGGGACACTCTATACATACTATGCATCAGTGTACAGGGATAAAATACCAGAAAGGTTTTGGTTTATGTAACAGCTGGGTTTGTGTCACCCTTAAAACCACTTATTTAGATACACTATAACTAGAGATAACCAGAACACCACAGAAGTAAACACCTGAGAGCAGAGGCTTGTATTTTTTCTTGGTGAACAACGTATCTTACTCTTTCAGACTGTAGTATGCAAACATTGACTGACTTCACGTGGCCTTCTTAGGTATCATGCTGAATTGGGGCCTGCTCGTAACTCATTAGGGATATTGTTAGGGCTACCAAACTGATCTCTGCCTCTTTTTTCTTTTTTTTTCCCTCCTTTACAGGAGTAACAACAGTCCTCACCATGACCACCTTAAGTATCAGTGCCCGTAACTCTTTGCCAAAAGTGGCCTATGCTACTGCAATGGACTGGTTTATAGCTGTCTGCTATGCCTTTGTATTTTCTGCATTGATTGAATTTGCAACAGTCAACTATTTCACCAAGAGGAGTTGGGCATGGGATGGCAAAAAAGCCCAGGAAGCTGCTAAAATCAAGGTGCTTACCTTATATTTTTTAAATACCTAGAATAAAAAGCAGTTACTCAGCATAGCTCAAATAACTGAGTGGACAATTTTCAGCTTCTTCTTGAAAAAGGTATTTAATTACCTCGTGACATAATTCCACCTTCCTATAGAGGCATATTTGCAAGGAAATATGCCATCTTCTTGTCACAGAGATAGACTATTAGTCTCCACCATCTGTATGGAGTGGACTGTTTTCAGAAGGATATAGAGCATTGAGTACACGTGGCATGGGATTTCAGTGACCAAACTTCTGATAACAGCAGACAGATACTATGAAACATATCTCTGCAGAGCACTCCTGATGTGCTCTCACAAATAAATGACAAAGCTTGCACTGAGCTCTGTGAGTCAGGGTCCCACCACAGTATCCCCAATAAAAAGGAGACAGAAGAGCGGTTCTGTGAAAACACAAACTTGAGTTTCAAGCTGAAATTACAATTTTGGAATAGGACTGACCCTTAGCAAATGATCTCCTAGAGACAGCTCGTACCCACAGGCATCCCGAAAGAGCAATACGAAGGCAAACTAGCAGGGGCAATGAGCCCTTCACCACGCTCCTTGCTGCAGGCAGGAGGGTGAGGTTTACGTCTTGGCAGCTGCCCATGGGGCAGAAACCTCTTGCAGATGCAGGACCGTGTCACCCTGACAAAAGAAGCAGCTAATGCGTATGCCAGGTGGGATCTGGGTCCAGCTGGCTGCTCTTAGCTTTCTCTGGTGTCAGGGAAAGTTTAACCTGAGTAAGGGCTATAAAATTGAAGCAGAAACAGCTGTTTGGGAGTCAAAGTCAGAATAGCCAACAGGCATTTGTTAGCATGATTGATTACAGTACTTAGATTTTTGGGTTAATATCTCGAGAACATGTTTCCACTTTCAGTTCCTGCGGTCTAATATTTTGTTCCTCGCCCTGCAGAAAAAAGAGCGTGAATTGCTGGGAAATAAATCAACTAATACTTACAGCACCGGGAAGATGACCCCTGCACCAAACATGCCAAAAGACTCAGCCCCATCTGTCATCTCAAACACTGCATCTGCTCCAGTGAAGTCTGCAGAAGAAAAGCCCGCTGAAAGCAAAAAGACTTACAACAGCATCAGTAAGATTGACAAAATGTCCCGGATAATTTTTCCAGTGCTGTTTGGAACTTTTAACTTAGTTTACTGGGCCACATATTTGAATAGGGAGCCTGTTATTAAAGGTGCCAATTCTCCAAAATAAACTCAAGGACTCTAAAGCCACATGTGAGCCATACTTACAAAGCAGATGCTACCAAGGAAAATTTGAGATCCAGATGACTTTCTACATTTGGGCAATATTCTTCAGGAAGTTTTTTGCATGTTTAATAATATGTACAAATAATATTGCCTTGATTGTTTCTACATGTAACCTCAGATGTTTTGGAGACTATTATATTACTTACAGCAACAGATCTTTATAAAAGATCAGAAGACATTGAACATGGCTTCTTTGCTGCTGAGTATCTTGCATTGATAGTTTACAAATAAAATAAGTTATATTTTTTAACTGTTCAAGTGTACTACATATCGTGGTTTTTATACTTCAGATGTACAGTCATACAAATGTAGGCTTAACCTATATTTTACAGAAGAGCTCCACTATTGTCATCTGATAGGTTACTGAGTAACGCCAGTTGTAAATGTGCGAAATTACTAAGTGCAGGGCTATGTTTGAGCACCTTTACTGGTTATAGGTAGTGCATTACTCCACCGATAAAACTGCTCAGCCCAATTTCATTAGAAGTTAATACAATGCAGTAAATCCTAATGCAGCTATGCTGATTTTCACTGCTTGAGCCTCTGGCTTGCGGTGAAGTAACATAGGGAACAGGATGCTACTTGTGTAAATAAAGGTGGTGGAATTTTGCCCTTAAAAGAAAATACGAAGTTTGTTTGGATTTTGCATTCCAAGGAATTTTCTCAAATGATTCTCAGTATTTATTCCAAAAATTAGAGGTATATTGCATGAAATTAACATAGATTAGGAACATACTTGTGCAACTAAAACTTTTAACAACAGCGGTAGACATTTTTATTAGGGTAAAGTAAATGATGTTTGGACATTTTCCCAAGAAGAAGATTGCATTATATTAGCAGAGATTAACAGTAAAGAATTACAGCAATTCTGAAATAATTATTACTTGTTTCCAATAGTGAAAACCAATCAGCCAACACTAAGAAGTGTGATCAGAAAAAAAGATGTGCCTCATGACAGCAAGGTGTTTCAGTGACAATATTGACAGAAAGGTCTTTGTACTGTCCATCTGAAACTTTTCTATAAAACGCCTTGCTGCTGCCAATGTGTTTTGCTTTCACAATGAATGAGAAAATGCAATCTGAATTTTCAGCTCTTTCCTCCTTGGCATCCTTTCTTTGCTCCAGAAGCTTTTGTAATTTAATCTTAATGTTTAAATAAAAAATGCATTCAACACTTGATTGCAAAATGTCATTCTTTCACTGGTTAGCTTTTTAGAGAGACCAAAAAGTCACCACAAGAACTGGAAGAATTAATTGGAAACCACGCATGTACGCACTCGATCACGTGTGTGTGCATGACACATCCTCGCTGTTGCCCAGAAAGGTACATATTGAGTAAAGACAGTGAATGGGATGTTTCAGAATTAAGTGCTATCTTGCTATGGAGCATGAGCCCCGTGTTCTGTTTGGGACAGAGAGGAGAGTCCGTGCTTCACTTTGAGGTGAGGGTCTGGTCCAGGACTGCGGAGCTGTCTGGGCTTCTTGTGTGTCTTTTCTTCATCCCCTTCATTCCTAAACATTGCCAAGAAAAAATCTGACACAGCTATTCCTTTTTGCAGCTTTTCTTCTGATGTTGTGGAATTAGAAATTTGCAAATTCTCAGTGGCCACAGAGAAGCCACAGGACTGAGTGGGTGACTGGAAGCTGGTAAAGACAGCAAGGGAGGGGCATGCCCATCTATTAGTTACAGTGCTATCCTGAGCCAAGGTGAGGATTTGGATCTCTGTTTTCAAGTAGGCTTCCTATGTGGCTTCGATGAGCCACACACCTCCTTGTTTGTCATTTCTTCGTTTTTAAAAGTGGGATAACGATATCTGAATGCAATGAATCCGGCCCTTTGGGGATCAAAAACAGTGAAAAATTGCAGAGCCTATTTGGAGGCAAAATTTTATAAAGTCCCGTGGATATTTCTTTTCTTGTATGCAGGTTATTCCCACCAAAAGGTGGGAGCCAACAAGACCTCGTGTTTTCTTGGTGAAGAGCACATAGCTTTGCCATGTCCAACAGGGACACAGTGCAGTGAAGTGCACACACATTGTGCTGGGTGTCCCCAGTGATTCACTCGCTTGAGTGCCTCTGAAACAGCTAAAAACGCCTGGTGATTGGCAGAGGGGAGCAGATCTTTCTGTATATCCAAGACAGACCTTCTCAGTCGCAGCCTCTTCTGCCCCTTCCTATGGCCATAGAGATGTACAATGAATGCAGTGCTAGGCTCCTGGAGGCTGAATATCCAGACAAGGGGAGGTGAGGCCAACATGCTGTTGGGGCTAGCAAACATAACAGTTCCTCTTAGGATGTGCACACCTGGGGAACTTTTCTTGTAACCATTTGATATGGGTGTGCATTCCTCCCACGGCAAGGCAAAGTGACCATGAAATGAGCGGCATGGTAGGGTCGTACTGTTAGTCACTGAGGGAGACTGCCTGCAGCCCTGCAGATGAGCAGTTGCTTTCTGCCCTCAAGTCTTTTCCTGTGGTCGGTGATTGCCATTGACACTCATGGCAGATGGTTGTGTGCTGGGTAACACATCTGGACAAGGCTTCTTTCTAGGAATCAATTTACTAACAGCTTGCTATTTCTAGTCTCACCAGAATAACAGATGAGATGTAACCCTTGCAACATCAGTGACACAGCATAATGCACAAAACTAATCTTGCTCAATCAGATGTCTTGAGGATGATGGGTGGACTGATGAGGACCCATCAGGACATAGTCCACATGATGACTTGCCCTTTTTTTGACCCCATAATAGCATGCTGCCATGCTGTTGGCACATGCTACCATGTTTTTGATGGGTATGTGTCCATACCTGTAAGCTCAATTATCTTCCCAACCATTCTTGTGGCCTACAGGTGGCACAGGCTCAAACTTTTTTATCAACATTTTTATTTATTGTAATATTTGCAATTGGAAAAGGCACACAGGATTCTGTTCAATAACAGTATTTACTTAACACTTCTTCCGCTCAGATGCCCAACATTCTAGTTCAATGAAAAACATGCTGGTTTTCATTTTGGTTTTGGTTTTGGTTTTGGTCTTTTTCCACAGGAAGATTAGGTAGTTGTAGGGTTTTTAAATAAAAACAGTTCTTGAACAATGATGTTCAATGATTAAGGAACTAATGGGACAGTCACAGACCGAAGCCAGGTTCTGTGGGTTCAATTTCAGTCTGGAGTGTGGGACTTTGGCACAAATATCCAAAGAGATTGAAACTATATCAGGATCCTGAGATGCTGATTGCTAGAGGAGTACTTGGGAGAAATATCATATATACATGTCCTGTTCATCTTCCATCTGCTTGTGGCTACTTTTGGAGGAAGGATACTGTGCTATCCAGACTTTTGCCCTTGACCCCATATAGCTACTCAGCAAATGTTCTTCTGCAGGAGAAAGCTGGACCGCAGGAATCCCTAGTCAGACCCTAGGCTACAGAGTACTTGTGAAAGTGGCACCAGAGTGCTTCTGGAAGAGTATGGAGGCTGTATTTACTACACTGCTGAATACTATGAGCAATCTGTGAACCTCCAGAGGACACCATGCATGGTAAAAGAATGTCTGAATACACATGAATCCCAAAACAAGAAAGAGAAAAAATCACAAGCAGTTGTTTTACACTTTCCTCAAACCTCCACATAAAGGCTCCAGTGTAAGGCTTTTCCCTATTTTTTTTAACAAGCAACTCAGAACCATCTTTACAGCATCATCTCTAGAGCCATTCTGCCTGCCTCAGAGGGTTTTCTGTGCTTCTTTTATTTGCTTACACCCAAGTACGGCTCTTATCCTGAATGGTTCAGCATCATTTTCTGGTCTCCATTGCAGGACTCAGTGCCAGGATCTCTAAATCTGACCAATTTTTCTTACATGGAGAGTCTCCTTGCCTTCACTGAATACGGAACTACCTACAAATAGTGGTCATATGGTCACAGCATCAGGCCCTTTATTTTGGTAAACAGTTTACTGGAGTTTACCTGATGTGTAGAAGACCTGTTAATTACCTCCCAAAGGCATATGGCACCACAGACATTTTTTATGTAAATCATTTCCAGTTATATTGACTGTCACTTTCTGTCTTTGAAGGTAAAGGCAGAAAATAATTATTAGAGCTCATTATGTTATTATGGATTTGCTAAACCAGGTTGAAGTTTCCTGAAGAAACCGTCTATCTTATGTTTCTCGGAGAATCCCATGCACTCCTAATCCTTGCTGAGAACTGCAATGAAGAGAAGAAGAAGAAGAAGCAGCAGCAGCCGTGGCCACCTTGCAGCGTGTGCTCCTGCCTGAACAGTAGGTGTTGTCCCATAGTTTGGGAGATGCTTCAATAAGCCTATCGATTCCAGGCTGGAATACTTAAATGCCACTGCCTCGCACTACACAACACCTAAGAATTTAAATCTCTCTGCAGCCAGTGGAACTGTTTGTGTGGGAGACCATTACTCATTGATGGCATCTGAACTGTGGGAGATGGGAGCATTTCCCAGATTCTGGCTCAAAGTAAACACCTTGGCTTTGTCCTGCTCCAGGCTGGGGCGGTATCTGGATGTGCATCAACCTCCTCTGGTTTCCCCTGGAAGGAGCCTGGGCCTTCAGGAGTGGGGTGAGCTGTGTCACTGTCCCCAGTATGGGTGAGCTGGGACACTGCAGGGCACATCTACTTCACAGCTTGGTCACGGCCAAAGAGGGTAATAAATAGGAATTGCTTGTCATTGGGTTTTTCCTGTATGCTTTCATGAAAAAAGAGTTGAAAAGTGAATTACAACAATTCAGCACTGGAGAGTAAGTGTGTGCAGTTCTACTGCCAAATTTCCTCACTTGCGCCCATTAAGAATGAAAGAACAAGTCAAACACAATGGAAAAGGTTTTTATTTCTGATATTTGAGCGGTGCCAGCTTACTCCAAGGATGAATTTAGGCAACAATGTATTTTCTAAAGCTTAGCCCTCTTCCGCTATCTCGAATTGTGTTCTGCTTTTTTCTAAATGGAATATGTCCTCTGTGGAATAACTAAACGTATTTGTACAAAACTGAGAAAGAAACGATTTTATGAAATAATCTTGTCTTTCAAAAATTCTTGCTGAACGTATAAATTAAACTTTCAAGAAAACTGAATGAAACTGCTTTGCTATTCAGTTTATGCGGACAAGATGAATGTAGCACTTGCACAGCTATTT